GTGTGTGTGTGTGTGTGTGTGTGTGTGTGTGTGTGTGTGTGTGTGTGTGTGACAGAGAGACAGACAGAGAGACAGAGAGACAGAGAAAGAGAGAGAGAGAGAGAGAGAGAGAGAGAGAGAGAGAGCACACTCTTTATGTTTTCTTTATTCCCTCCACTCACGAGACTCTGCCCACTGTCCGAACTCTGATTTAGACGAAAAGAGTCCGAGAGACGAAGGCACGGGCAATGTTCTTTCCTTACTTATTCCTCCAACGCCACTGGAAAACTAAGAATTCCCGAGAATGTGAGAGTGAGAAGAAAACGATGTCAAGCTGCAGCCTAAAAATAAAATACCCAGCAGGGTTACCAAACAAAACAAAACAAAAAACCTCCAAAATTCCACACAACCAGAAGGACTCGATAGGCCTATTTCGTCTCCCTTTCTTTCCCATCCGCGCTCAAAGCGGGCTTCCTTTTTTTCGCATGGCGTGTGCGTGTGCGTGTCACACTGCTTTGCTTGCTCCTGCGTTGCTTTTTGCCTTGATTTGCTTTCGGCTTTCACAAAGTCACAAAGCGATAGGGCAAGAAGGCTGATTGCGTCTGCTTTACCTAAACGAATGCTGCACTATAATTTGTATTATTATTATTATTATCTTTATTATTATTATTATTACAACATGTATTACGGTGTAGCTACCATTTTCTGAGCGTGCGCGCTATCTTTAGTTCCACCGCGCAGTGGGGCTACTTCACTACACCACCTCTTTCGCGCTTCGCGCGGCTTGCTCAAGGGAACGAAGCGAGAGTGGGGCCGGGCACTTCTCAGATGGGAACACACCACGCTGGACTTCTGTTTCTTGGGAAACGCGCTGCTCTTAGTAGTAAGAACGGATTCGTAGCGCATCATATTGTGCTCCTGGTTTATCTACGAAATGGGGGAGAGGATCTCTCTGACCGTCTAGGGGAGAGGGGTTGAGGTAGTGCGGGTTCAGCCCGGGTCACTCACATTCTGTTAAGATAGATCTAGATCTAGGTCTAGAATGATGTGAGCTGACACGCGTGCTGGATGGAATTACTTCGCGCTTTGTTAGCCTTCGACTTACTGTGGCCGCTGGCGAGTGGCTTGGCCATGCCAACCACACTGCTGCTGTTTTAACTTACTTGCCTACTCCCTAAGTAGGCCTCCTCGCAAGAAGATCAGCCGATCACGGTTTTGTAAGATAAGTTATCTCTGTGAATTTTCTTCGGGCTGGATTGCCCTGTGCTCCGGACTTGTGTAAATATTTTTGCCCACGTTTTGTATGCATTATTTGTTTCGTGTTCTTCCCGGTGGCTTTCCTCGCGTAAAAGTCAAACCCGAGTTTCTGGCGTCAGAACAATTATTGTACAATTTAGTAAGCCCCGCCTCCTTTGCTTCGATGCCAAGGTGAAGGGGAGACCCTTACAATATTATAATAGGGGAGCGATTGCCATGGTGTTGAGTGGCATAAATAATACAATTATTTCGAAAGCGAACAAATCAAAAAAGGGATAGAATTTACCCATTCGCTTTAAATCCGCCCTTTCTCCTTTCTAGAGTTATTAATTAACTACCTCTAGACTCTATGTGAAATCAGATTCGATCTTGTTTGTTTTTTGTGTGTGTGACGGCTGTAGGCCTTCTGAAAGGGTACAAAAGCAGAGAAAGTAAACAAAAAAATTAGTTAATTGGCGTTTGTACAAGTTAAACCCACTTGATTGGCTATCGGAAGGCGTTCGGCAGTGATGGGGATCCATATTTTATGTTTTTGTTTTTTGCTTGTTTACTTAAGTTTGTCGAGCTGTATATAATTTACACTCGTAGATTTTTTGAAAGTTCTTTGAAGACCGACATGTAGGCCGAGGCTTACTTCCACAGTTTCCCGTTCAAATTGAAAACGTAAACTGCCCCACAAATCCCGCTAACGAAGCATAGTATAGCGCTTATTTTTCCAACAATACTAAGAATATATGCCGATTGAGACCGTTTTAAAGATTGTTTGGTCCAAATAAGTGTGTGAAATGTATTTATAATATTTTTGTGCTGCATTTGTTTCGCGTCTTAAATGATAAATTGTACATTATATTGCTTTTGAATCATACTTTAGACTAATCGTTTTCGAATGTGGAATGATTTACTTCAGTTCCGAGGATTAAATAATTGTGCTTTTGCCGAGATTCAAATTGAGCTGGATTACAGTGTACCACATACAGGATGCACACTTTCAATCAGCTTCTGTGACATTTTGTAGCAGTGACTCATTATTTACGTTTGATCCGTAACCCAACTTGCATTCAATCAACCGGAGTATTTTCATGCTGAAATAACCAGCAGGGACAAAGGAAGCAGTAGACTGTGGTAAGCTCTTGTTATATTATTTGATTATTTTTCTTTCTTTTCTTTTCATCCTTCCATTTCAAGAGATCTTCTATTTGCTTTTTTTCTGTCGGTATTTTCCATTCTTTCCTTCAGCCTCTTTGTTTTTCTGTCTAGATCTAGATTAGACTCTAGATTCTAGATCCACTTTGTGTCTTTCTTTTTTGCGTTTTGTTATTTCTGTCTCTCCATAGTTTTTCGTCTAGCTTGTGAAGTCTTTTCTAAACTGTTTTATTATCTGCCTCTTCCATTTTTGCTTGGCTTAAGTATTCAGATAGTTTTTTTTGTTTTGTTTCTTTGCTAGAGAATCCCTGAGCTTTCATACAAAATTATTTTGATGGATTAGCAATAGATCTTCCTTGAATCAGAAATGGAGCCTGGGTGATCCTTTGGTTAACAGTATTATAATTAGATGCAGAGCATGGGTCACCATGCCCGTTTACTCCCTAAACTTTGTTTATCTTCACCCCCCCCTCCCCCCTCTCCCCTCATTCAGTGCACATGCATGCACATTAACTCACAAATATGCACACATAGCCCACAAAGAATTACAAACCCACGCAAACACACACATACACACACATACACACACATACACCCTCACACACACACAAACATACAATACACACATGACACAAACACACACACACACACACACACATGG